TAATACAAATATTTAAAACATATACATGCAAATACAGAAAATGCCATTGATTTAAAGGCTATGGAGCTCGGCATCTTTCCCTTGTCCTTCCTTAGGTAGAGGGCTTGGTACAATGGTAGGTTAATGAGAATCAAAACCCCACACAGAAGAATTTGCAGAGGCATTGTCTCATAAAGGTTTGTCATGCCCTCTCCCATGATTGCTTCATTTACAACACCAAGAAAGCAGAACAAATTGAGCAATGCAAGCGTTGCCAGTATGGTAAACATTGGAGACGAGGCTCCAAATTCCATAACCTCTTTCTCGTATCGATGCGAAACATCTTCATCAGAAACCTTGGCTGTTATTACAAATGCTGAATCAGAATATCCGAGGGAGTTTAAAATGGTATCAATTAAGGCAAACAGGTAGGAACTTGTTCTCTTGTAAAGCCATATACGTTGGTCGTTCCACCAACCTAAGATTGTACCACCAGACCACAGAAACTCCACAAAGCTCCAAGTGTACTTGGCAATTATCACATATGCAAATGGTATGAGCCAAGGGCTTGAGACCTAAACCGACAAAACAAAACTCATTATTACAGACATTGAGAAAAGGGAAAATGTTATGGAAGGTTGTGACAAACTAATTAATATGAATGACAGAGGAACCATACCTGCGGAAATAACGAAACGCCTCTAAGGAGATAAAGTGAAGGGATAATTGAGTAAAATAGGGTTGCCAAGGAATTGGAAGCCCAGAAGCAGTAGCAACAGTATCCAAGTTGAAGACCTAAGCTAATATTTCCATGTGCATACCATGCAGGGCTGTACTTAGAAAACAAAATCTGGAAATCACCTTCTGACCATCTCTTATGCTGCACAAGTGTCTGCGACAGTGTGGTTGTAGCTATTCCTAAGAAAGCTTTCCTTGTGGGATTGCAATACACTGATTTCCATCCGCGGCATTGGATTGATAACCCCGTTATCACATCTTCAACCGGACATCCATATTTCAAACCCATCTGCAAATTATAGAGATTCATTAAGCTCAAACTATTGTACACTTGTGTGTGTGTGGATGGAGAGAGAAATAAAGACCTCCTTTCCCCATTCAGTGTTCTCTTCAAATGCACAGCTTGCAAGACTTCTCGAATTTCCTTCTAATTCATGAATGCCAGTTTCTTCTCTCTTTCTACTAATCTCCCACTTCATTTCACTCTTACATCCCTTTATGAACTTATTCCTCCCACAAAGAGTATCTCTTCTGTGAAAGCAGCCACTTCCAATATATAGAGGGCCCCCATAACCATCCAAACCATGGAATTCCACCTTCAATTCCCACAAACATAGAATTCCTAACATGTCAGCCATAAATATTAAAACATTATAAAACTTCACTTAAATAAGTTTAACTCCACATCATATAACTTCACGAACGCCTACTCACCTCGCAGATTACTCGTAATGAATTGCTATATAATTCATTCTTAGTAACATTTTCGAAATTCTGTGGGAACTGTACATAGGCAATCTCATTGCCTTCTGCTTCATCCATTAAGAAGCAAAGTGCATCCCTTACGGCCTTAGAGTTGTTTGAATACATGTCACAGTCTACATTAAGAAGGACCTGCCCATTGCTAATGTTTGAAGATACCCTTATCTGCAGCACAAAGGATCACATAACAAATTAACATTGAATTATAGAAATTTCTGCAGTATCAACAAACACACCAATACTTGATGATTTTGGAAGCACCTTTTTAGTCTCTCTAGCAAAGAAAATATTGCCAAAAATATAGCTTGAAATGAAACTGAGTTTCTTTTTACTAGTTTACCAATGCATTCATAGCGCCAGCTTTGAAGTTATGGTGATATTGAGGTCTCTTTTCTCGAGCCAAATACACCAAAGTTGGCAACACACACCCTTCAACATCTGTTGCATTTAGGTCTCTCCCATCAATTACTATCTGAGAAAAATGGAAAGGATGATAGTATAATACATTAATTAATGTGTGTTTATGTATGTCAATAGCTCAAATTAAGAAATTATTATCTTCCATTTCTAAACAGTAAAGATCAAAATTTCATACCTGAAGAATGGTGTCGTGGTCACGTCGTGATGAATATGTATCCCACTGAGAAAAGCCTTTATGTTTTGATCTTACTTCTTCTGAAATGCGGCCTAGCTTCACAGCATCTTCAACTTCATTCTCCATGTCTTTGTATAATTTCTACATGGACAAATTGAGAAGGCAGCTATCACTAAATTAATCAATGCAATCTGTTTTATTGGTTTTACCATTTTAGTGATTTAATTTTTTTTATAAAAATAATAAGCCTATTGTCACTACTTATCATATTTGTATGCTCCTGCTCCATGTCCATGATCCTCCAGCAACATGTGCAGTGTTACTTTCCAAAAGAACTTTGGCAAAGTTATGAGTCTCCAAATCTCAGCTTGCAGAACTCAAAATTATGAAAACTCATTGTGTACACTTCTTTCGTAAGAATGCGTATGGGATTCACTGTTTTTTTTTTTAATGAATGACGGAAGAAAATCTTAGGTGTAACTGGCTGTACACGATCATTCGTACATTCCGTTATAGGGAAGTTTTCTCCATTGAGAGGTATTGGCTGGCTGTATGCCTCAATGAAAAACCCAATTCAGGTTATCAGTAGTTCACATTTTGAACCAGAACCAAACAATGACCCAATTCAGGTTATCAGGGACTCAGTCCCACATCGCCATCCAAAAATGACCACATGATCACCATTTTAAAAAATAATAATAAACAAAGACAAATTAGTTTTAAATTATTGACCCCCTGACACAAGACTCGTAACTGATACGTTTCTTTTTCTAAAAGAAAATTAATTGTTGACCTCTTTAAACATTTTCTATGTTATCTGTCCACCTTTTTGGTCATGACAAAATTAATTGGTACTTCAATCACTTTTGATCCTGTAATTTCAATTCCATTTGGGTTTAGAGTTTCTTCAAAAATTGGGATTAGAGGTTGAATTTCAAGCCCTAATATGAAAATGGGAGAGTTTCATATGAACTTTTACACTCAAGGGTTTTGGGTTGACGAAATTGCCCCTTGCACTGTCAAAGAAATTGACAAGAATACTAACTTGTCCTTGAATTGCTACAAATACGAAACTACAATGGCAAAATTGACGGAATTGAAACTACATGGTCAAAAGTTTAAAAGAAAATTAATTGTTGACCTCTTTAAACATTTTCTATGTTATCTGTCTACCTTTTTGGTCATGACAAAATTAATTGGTACTTCAACCACTTTTGATCCTGTAATTTCAATTCCATTTGGATTTAGAGTTTCTTCAAAAATTGGGATTAGAGGTTGAATTTCAAGCCCTAATATGAAAATGGGAGAGTTTCATATGAACTTTTACACTCAAGGGTTTTGGGTTGACGAAATTGCCCCTTGCACTGTCAAATAAATTGACAAGAATACTAACTTGTCCTTGAATTGCTACAAATACGAAACTACAATGGCAAAATTGACGGAATTGAAACTACATGGTCAAAAGTGATTGAAGTGCCAAACTATAGGGACCAAAAGTGACTTTTGGCCTTCAATTTAATAAGGAAATTAATTAGTACCTTAATAGCAGCCAAATCAGCAGCCTGGTTATGATCATCATCAACTGCATCATCAGAAGAAACAAAATAAGCAGCAGGTGATCTTGGCTCCACGTTGTATTTCTTGCAATAAGGTATCCAATGCTTAGCAAATTTGGCAGCCTCCAAGAGGGCAAAGTATGTAATTTCTGAGCCTCCATCATCTGAGAGATACACACTCAACTTCTCTGGTGGGTAGTCATAAGCCATGACTGATAAAACAGTGTTTATCACCATCATTGGTGGCTCTATTGTGGGGTCTGCCGTGCACACGAATATGTCCACCCCCGGCAACTCATTCTCATATCTGTTCAAATTTCACGGACGACAGTTGTTGAATACATAGACACAACTTATTTGTTCTAAAGTGATTAAAATATACATTACTAATAGACAGAGTAACATGAAGTAAATGATTTACCAAAAAGAGAGATGCATATAAGAAAGTAGGTACCTTTGAGAGAGCCTGTCCTTGAAGGTGTGCCTATAAACAGGGCTCCACCTGGAGGCTTGAGTGAGGATCCAGTAAAAACCAAACCATAGCTCAGCGCCCAACAATCCAATCCACCCAAACCTTCCATCCTCTCCTGCTTTTGGTATGTGACTTACTCTATAAACCCAAATCAAACATATGCCTGCAAATATAGATGCTGCAAAAATCCTATATAGAACTATTCCCTTGGCTCTCTTTGTCTCAAACAATGGTAAATACCCTTCTTCCTTTCCCATCTGATAATTCAGACCGACCGACCTCTCTCCCTCTCTCTCTCTCAAAATGGATAATTATATGATATATTTGTGTGCTTGTGGTTATATATAGCGTAGCATGAATGACACCTGCCATGGTGGAATAAGGACATTTTTGTCTGCCACTAGCTAAATATTATTGTTGACAATTATTAATACATGCGTCCACCAATGGTTTAGTGCGGATGTTGTGAAATGTTGACTTTAATTTTTTATGTTAGTGCAATGAAAGTAACAAAGTCTAGGTACAACTCCTTGAGTTGTTAATTAGAAATGGACGTTATTACTAGACAGGTTGATTGCTTTCAATATTGACAAAGCCGAAAAAAAACAAACGAAGGCTTGAGCTAGCTCTATGATGAATCACATTCGTCACCTTTGTCGAATCACATAAACTGAATATATTGTTTGTTTTCTACTATAAGGGGCTAAATTGTTAACGTTCCATATCAATTTTTGAAAGAAGTTGAGGTTCCATCCTAAAATTAATTGGTTATAAAGGACTAGCCCAACTTCTTATACACTCAGGCTAGGTCCCTTAACTTTTCAATGTGGGACAAATACTCTCAACAAATTCGCACAAAATATGAACTTTCATATAGTGTCTTTTTTCGGTCAGATCATATAGTGTCTGTGAATAAAATAAATTTGAATGTAACGACATCTTAATTATAACTTCCAACGAGAAAAAGATAAAATGGAACAAATGAGCAAATAAAGCACTCTTTCCATGAGCATGTGCCCAAGTAAAAATGCTAGTTTATATCATGATAACTGTTCATCAATCTTTCAGCTAGCTTTCCTAGTATATAGGCATCAGGCAGGCCAGTGCAAGCAAAAAAACTGACTTGAACATGACAGAGGATGGTATATGGCCTTTATCGCTGCGGATGAAGAGCGCTTGGTACACCGGTAAATTGATCAGAACTAATATGCCAGAAAGAATAACCTGGCTGATCAACTGGTCTAAAGCTTTGTAATGCCTGTCCATAACAACTCTCTTTGTTCCCCAAACTAAGCTCAGAAAATTCAGCAATGCCGATGTTGCTAACACGGTATACATAATGCTTGCGGTTCCGAATTCCATAATCTCTTGCTCATACCGCTTTGAAACATCATCTGTGATCACCTTATCAGTGAGGGCAAACTCTGTCTCAGATAGCCCCAGTTGCCTCTTTATGGTATCGAAGAAGGCGAAGAAGTAGGAAGTGATCCTTCGGATCAGCCACATTCGTTGTAAGTACCACCATGCTTTGAGTGTGCTACCACTTCTCAGGGCTTCAACTATGCTGTAAACATTCTTGGCTATAAATACATAAGCAAATGCTAGGAACCACAGGCTTGACACCTGAAATGAAAACATCAATCAATTAAAAACCAACAATTCCAATGTGATTGAATAGTAGCTTAATAGACCACAGATTTTAGGAAGCAATTGGGTTAACTAATGTTTCTTTCCACCAAAGCATAAAAGAGTGAGATTGAGGTACCTTAGGGAACAAGGGAATGCCATGGAGCAAGCAAAGAGGAGGAACAGTCACATAATACAAAGTTGGGAAGGAAACTGGAGCCCACAGAAGGTAGATACAATATGCCATCTGGGCACCCAAGTGTATCTTCCCATGCCCATAAATGAAAGGGCAATATTTGGAGAAAAATATCTGAAACAAGCCCTCAGACCACCTCTTATGTTGAATAAGTGCTATATCTAAGGTATTTGGAGCAACACCCAGAAAGTCTTTTCTCTCTGGGTTATAATAGATCGATTTCCATCCCCTGCATTGAATTGCCAAGCCAGTAGCAATATCTTCAACAGGACACCCATATATCAATCCCATCTGCATAAAAATAACATATATCTCATCATGATCTTCAAGACTAATATTGAAAGGGTAGAAAATTAGCATGTTTGAGAAAGAGTGATAGGCAGAGAGAGAGAGACCTCTTTGCCCCATTGAGTACCCTTCTCATAGCTACAACTGATAAGAGCTTTTGCAGATTCCTCCAGTTCTTTGATACTTCTGTCAATAGTCTTTTGGCTCTCTACGTTCCAATGTCCTCTATAATCTTTGGAATACTTCCTTCCAAAAAGGCATTCTCTTCGATGGAAGCATCCAGTGCCACAAAACAAGGCCGTGCCATATCCACCTAATCCAGCAAGTTCAACCTTCATGCATGACAACCAACCATGATATGTTAATTTGAAAGTAAGCGCAATTATATAACCATGGTCTAGATATCTCACCGCGTTAACAACGAAACATTCATTTCCATAGATATCATCCTTGGTGAGATTGTTATAGCCCTGTGGATGTTGCACGTAAGCGATCTCAGGGCCATACTTTTCATCCAAGAAGAAACATAATGCCTCTCGTATTGAGTCTGCATTGTTTGCATACATGTCACAGTCCAAGAGGAGGATGAAGGGTGCATTGCTTATCTCTGATGACACTCTCAGCTGCACAAGGGAAATTACCTTTTTTCAGTCTCCATAATACTTACAAATTTCAAGTTAAAAGCACAATTGTGAAATATTTTAAATGCGATTGAAAGATATACAAGTTAAAATTAGTGTCTGCAATGTAGTTGGAAGTAAGGAAACTAAAGCTAACCAGTGCATTCAGAGCTCCAGCTTTGAAGTTGTGTGGCTGCTGAGGTCTCTTTTCTCGTGACATGTACACCATCGTAGGTAACCGGCATCCATCATTATCCACGGAATTTATGTCTCTTCCATCAGTTATAATCTTCAAAGGAAATAAGAGGGACAGAGTAATGAAACAAACAAAAAAAAACAAAATTACAAAAGTATCAGATAAAGATCAACCAATTCACGAATTACATACCTGTACAATCGACTGATGATCATTCTTTGCAACTTTAAGGTTCCATTCTGAGAACCCCTTGTGTTGCTTCTTTATTTCTACTGGAATCTCTGCCGTTGCAACAGCAGATTCGATCCGATTCTTCATTTCTTCATGAAGTTTCTTTGGAAACATGTAAATGTCAGCTAAATTAGCCATTTCACATGCATACTTAGTCAATTATCTAAAACACTGATTTAGCAAAACTTGGCACTTTTTTATACCTTGATTTCCAGCCATTCCTGACCATACTTGATGTCATGCACATCAGAGTGCAGGGCAAAGTAGGCCTCTGGTGACCTTGGCTCAACACTGAACTTTTTGCAGAAGGGTATCCAATACTTAGCGAAACGAGAGGCCTCCAAGAGAGCATAGAAAGTGAATTCTGAACTGCCATCGTCGGAAAGATAAACACTCAGCTTCTCAGTTGGATAATTGTAGGACAGCACTGATAAGACAGTGTTAATCACCAAAGTTGGTGGCTCCATTTTGGGGTCTGCAGTGCATATAAAAATGTCAACTCCCGGCAACTTGTCCTCATATCTGTAATATGCAAAGAATCATAAGAACTTCATTAATTAGAAATCCAATTTTCAAACTCCACACAACAAGAAAATGCAAAACAAAGTGGGGATTTGGACTTAGAAAAATAGAGATTGATATCAAAATTGAACCTTTTTGTCATAACTTACCTGATGCAAAGTTTTTGCTATCAGAAGAACACCTTAGATTGTACAAGTTCTTTATTGAAAAGCAAACTAAAAATACACTTATTATACAATTTTCTAGATTGAAAAAGAATCTAAATTTTTTTCAATATTTGTTTTTAGTTGTTACTTTATGAACTGAGATGGAGAGCTAGCAAAACCTGTGAGAGAGCCTGTCCTTGAAAGGTTGAAGATAAGTAACATTCCATCTAGGAGACTGAGTAATGATCCAGTACAGCCCAAACAAGAACTCAGACATGAGCATACCAATCCAAGCCCACCTCCCTGCCTCTCCAGCTCTTGGGATGTTTGTAACTCTATACACCCATATCAAACACACACCCACCAATATTGTGGATGCAAAAACCCTATACAAACCTATAAATCTTGCTCTTCTGCTCTCAAACAATGGAGGAAGACTTTCTTCTCCACCACCTTCCTGCTTGCCCATCTCTCTGCTTTCTTTCTCTCTCTTTTTTAACAAAGAAACTTTAGTGCAGCTATGTAAACTAGAAGCTAACTTTCCCGTACCACACAGTCTTGATATAAGGATTGAAGTGAAAACACGGTCCTGAATTATATTGTATAAAACAAAGAAAAATGTCAGGTACCAAAAAAATTTGTTGTTCTATTCAGAACGATAAGAAATTGAGGGAGGCCGGATTCGAACAAAGAGCCTCAGGTGCATGATGATGAGGTTTTGTTCTGTAGTGTTCCTTTTCTTTTATATATAAAAATAAAAATAAATAAAAACGATACGATTATTTAAGAGTCAAAGCACTTATCGTTTAGGTAGAGGTGAGGGCATATGAACATATTTTTCTTGATCTTCAACAGAAAGAAAGAAAAAAAAGAAACTAGTATAAGATTTTAATGCCAAATGTCAATTCCATATCACCAATGATGAGAGGAGCCACGTGAAAGTTGACTAAAATGGTCAAGAGTTTCGATAGTCAATACAAATGTTATATTATATGATTTATTTTCTACAGGAGATATTCTAAATTACTAATCTAGCCTAATCCCTTGTTTTATTAAAAAAAACAGCAATGGTGTTTTTTTAATTTCTTTAATAATAATGGCACGGATTTAACCAATCTGAACAAAAACGACAATTGGGATGTCTCTCACAACACAACCGTACACGAAAGAAGCAACCACCATATCTGTGGTTGAAGTTGCTTGGTCTTTAAACTTGTACATCACTATTTTCCCATATTAAGAAAGTGGCAGTTGGAATTGGGTTGCCTTCTTTTGTGTTTGATTCGGCCATTCGATTACTTTAAGCAACGTTTCCACCTTGACGGCTTGAAATTGATTTTTGCTTTGTCCTTTTTATCTCATTCATCATCATCATCACCATCGAAGTTCTTCAACTGTTTCTCATCGCAAAACTTGGTCAGCTCAAGATTAAAATTGAAAGTATGTATGTGTATTCGATTAGGGTCCATATTTAGTGCAAATTGTAATCTAGTTATACGACAATCTAATGATTTGCAACTAGTCTTTGAGTTACAAGCATAATGAACTCCGCGATTTTTCAATTACAAATATATTCATATTACATGTTTATTTATACATAATGAAAATAATAAAAGATAAGGAATGAGAATCAAATCAACTACTATTATTATATGTGTAAGTAAATGCATGAGAAGTCAAAAATGGAATTCATATTCTCTTTTTTCTTATTCCCATGACTTATAAGTAAACGTGTCAATGAGAATATAAACCGTAGAAAGCTCATTATTAGGATCTCAATTTCTCCTTGGTCTAGTTACCGAGACATACTCTTATATACGTGGGACAATCGTAACCAAGAGAAACTCTTATATACATAGGAGAATCATAATGCAGTCATCTAGTGGTATGTGACTTGGCAAATTTCTTACCACTTTTATGAGAGACTATCCCTATTCTAGTTGTTTATGAGGTGTAGAAATGTTTTGTTACTAGATGGCCCTATGCCTAGTGAAATCAGGACCACACCAAACTTAAAACTTGTTAGTTAATGTCTTGAGATTGCATTAATTGCTGCTAACTCTAGGAGAAGGAAGCTCCAGGAGTCGAAAAGCCAAAAGAAGCCAAAAGATGATTAATTGCATCAGCTGCACAAGCTGGTCCCTAATACCTACTATGATGCCCCCTGCTACCTATTGTAACTTATACAAATCCATTGTGTTGTCCCTTGCTACCAATGGCGGACCCAGGAATTTTTATAGGGGTAGGCTAAATATATATTTTATTTTATAGATGAGATATATTATAAGCCTTTTTTTTCTCTTGAAACAAAAATGTAAATAAAATTTTATAAATCAAACATGGCCACGTTACAAGCAAATATAACATAAAGAAGTACAAAATATAAATAAATACCAAATCAAATACATTTCCCTAATACCTACTATGATGCCCCCTGCTACCTATTGTAACTTATACAAATCCATTGTGTTGTCCCTTGCTACCTTTTGTAATTAATACAAAGCTTGACTAGCAAGCCTTCCATGTGTACATAAATTCTGCTATAAGTTATTAAGAGTGTAAGAAATAGAAATTTGTTTTGAAACCATAAAATCTCTACACTTTGTTTGGCAGCACTTTGTTTAAATCTCTACACTTTGTTTGGCATGGTATCAAAGCAATCAATTTTGGTTGCCTCTGCATAACCTTGTTCTTGCCTTATCTTTACATAACCTTGCTCATACTTTGCTACTACATTGTTCCTATCTCTACCCTTGCCTTGCCTCTATTTAACCTTGCTTATACTTTGTTGCCACATTATTCCTATCTCTACCCTTGCATTCTATTTGCTTTACCCTTGCTTAAACCTTGTTTTTACTTTGTTTTTGCTGTGATAGTAATTCAAACTTGTCTTCCTTTGGTTGCTTTGTTATGTTGTGCACCTACTGTGTTCTTGAAATCTTCCACTGCTACTTTCAACATGGCACCCAAGGTTGCTTGTGTCATGACTACCGGTGAGTCTCCATTTTCTGCCTTACTCTCCGACTCCAACCCCAACTCAGGTACACGCTCTACTACATGGATAATTAATACTACTGCCTCTGATCATATGACTTTTGACTCTCACCTTACCGATTTTTCATATTTTGATTTGGTGAGAATTTGATTTTTTAGTATTTTTATTTGAATCCAAATGGGGGGTACTTCCTTATTTACATTGTAAACTTAAGTAAATGGAGTAATATAAAAATAAATGAAAGTAAAACGACAAAGACATTTATATAGGTTTGGATTGATGTTATTATTTCCTATATGCTTTAGGAGTGGGCTAATATTTATTAGAGTAAAAATAAAGCTTATAACATTTAAACCATGTTCAATACTTTATAAATCTTCCCCTAGGCTGGAGCCCACTCCAGCCTAAGCTTAGGTCCGCCCTTGCTTGCTACCTTTTGTAATTAATACAAAGCTTGACTACGCCTTCCATGTGTACATAAATTCTGCTATAAGTTATTAAGAGTGTAAGAAATAGAAATTTGTTTTGAAACCATAAAATCTCTACACTTTGTTTGGCAGCACTTTGTTTAAATCTTTATACTTTGTTTGGCATGGTATCAAAGCAATCGATTTTGGTTGCCTCTGCATAACCTTGTTCTTGCCTTATCTTTACATAACCTTGCTCATACTTTGCTGCTACATTGTTCCTATCTCTACCCTTGCCTTGCCTCTATTTAATCTTGCTCATACTTTGTTGCCACATTATTCCTATCTCTACCCTTGCATTCTATTTGCTTTACCCTTGCTTAAACCTTGTTTTCACTTTGTTTTTGCTGTGATAGTAATTCAAACTTGTCTTCCTTTGGTTGCTTTGTTCTGTTGTGCACCTTCTATGTTCTTGAAATCTTCCACTGCTACTTTCAACATGGCACCCAAGGTTGCTTGTGTCATGACTACCGGTGAGTCTCCATCTTCTGCCTTACTCTCTAACTCCAACCCCAACTCAGGTACACGCTCTACTACATGGATAATTGATACTGGTGCCTCTGATCATATGACTTTTGACTCTCACCTTTTTTCTACAATGACTACTCAGTCTTGTTATCCCTACATTACTAGTGCCAATGGGACCCCTTCTAAAGTTGTTGGTGAAGGGACTATACCGCTTTCTCCTTCCCTAGTCTTACCTCATACACTTCATGTTCCTTCTATTAATTGCAATTTGTTGTCAGTCGGGAAGTTACTTGACTCACATAATTGTTATGCCACATTCTATCATTCTCATTGTAAATTTCAGGACCTTACGACTTACGAGACGATTGGGCATGGTAAATGGAGAGGGGGGTTGTATACCTTGACAGTCTCATCACCACCACATGTTGCTCATGTTCAAAACTCATGCTCAACAACAGATTTGGTTATGGCATCGTCGCTTAGGACATCCATCGTTTGGCTACCTTCGACGGTTGTTTCTATCTTTAATGGTGGGGTATATGTGAATGGTGTCTTGGCTCAATTCTTCCGGGACCAATGCATTATCCATCAAACCTCCACCCCTTTCACTCCACAACAAAATGGTGTTGTCGAGCGAAAAAATCGCCAATTACTTGAGGTTGCACGTGCCTACATGCTTGATAAATCAGTCCCTCACTACTTATGGGGCCATGCTATTCTCTCTGTAGTTTATGTGATTAATCGGGTGCCTAGTAGTGTGTTGGACTTCAAAACTCCACTAGATACCTTGGCTCATCACATCTCTCTTCCTACCGTTCTCAGGTTGCCTCCTCGCGTGTTTGGTTGTGTTGTTTATGCTCATGTTCCCTCTTATCAATGGAGTAAGTTAGATCCTTGTGCCCTCCGATGTATGTTTGTTGGATATGGATTAACTCAAAAAGGATATAAGTGTTACCATCCTCCTACTCAAAAGCTCTTTGTCACTATGGATGCCACTTTTCATGAAGATTTGGCCTACTTTGTGGTTCCTACAACCCCTTCTCTTCAGGGGGAGAATGGGAGTGAAGAGAATGACCCATCATTTGGAGAGAAGACTGAAGAAGATGCTGAAAAAACTGGAGAAATGCCCCAGGTGACTGGTCGCCACCCTACTTGCGACTGATCTTTTTTACATAAAGTCGAAGACGCTGGAGAAATGTCCCATGCGACTGATCGCGAAGAACCCAGTGACCGATCGCTTTCAAACAGCGACGAAAATGCTAGAGAAATTTCAGTTCTATTCAGTCCTAACCTCAGTGAGAACATTGAAATGGATTGGTTGGATAGGCAATACTTGTCCAATGGAGTTCAAATTTGGATATGTTGTAGTTAACATCCATTGGAACAAGTCGCTCTACTACATGGATAATTAATACTACTGCCTCTGATCATATGACTTTTGACTCTCACCTCTTTTCTACAATGACTACTTAGTCTTGTTATCCCTACATTACTAGTGCCAATGGGACCCCTTCTAAAGTTGTTGGTGAAGGGACTATACCGCTTTCTCCTTCCCTAGTCTTACCTCATACACTTCATGTTCCTTCTATTAATTGCAATTTGTTGTCAGTCGGGAAGTTACTTGACTCACATAATTGTTATGCCACATTCTATCATTCTCATTGTAAGTTTCAGGACCTTACGACTTACGAGACGATTGGGCATGGTAAATGGAGAGGGGGGTTGTATACCTTGACAGTCTCATCACCACCACATGTTGCTCATGTTCAAAACTCATGCTCAACAACAGATTTGGTTAAGGCATCGTCGCTTAGGACATCCATCGTTTGGCTACCTTCAACAGTTGTTTCCATCTTCAATGGTGGGGAATATGTGAATGGTGTCTTGGCTCAATTCTTCCGGGACCAATGCATTATCCATCAAACCTCCACCCCTTTCACTCCACAACAAAATGGTGTTGTCGAGCGAAAAAATTGCCAATTACTTGAGGTTGCACGTGCCTACATGCTTGATAAATCAGTCCCTCACTACTTATGGGGCCATGCTATTCTCTCTGTAGTTTATGTGATTAATCGGGTGCCTAGTAGTGTGTTGGACTTCAAAACTCCACTAGATACCTTGGCTCATCACATCTCTCTTCCTACCGTTCTCAGGTTGCCTCCTCGCGTGTTTGGTTGTGTTGTTTATGCTCATGTTCCCTCTTATCAATGGAGTAAGTTAGATCCTTGTGCCCTCCGATGTATGTTTGTTGGATATGGATTAACTCAAAAAGGATATAAGTGTTACCATCCTCCTACTCAAAAGCTCTTTGTCACTATGGATGCCACTTTTCATGAAGATTTGGCCTACTTTGTGGTTCCTACAACCCCTTCTCTTCAGGGGGAGAATGGGAGTGAAGAGAATGACTCATCATTTGGAGAGAAGACTGAAGAAGATGCTGAAAAAACTGGAGAAATGCCCCAGGTGACTGGTCGCCACCCCACTTGCGACTGATCTTTTTTACATAAAGTCGAAGACACTGGAGAAATGTCCCATGCGACTGATCGCGAAGAACCCAGCGACCGATCGCTTTCAAACAGCGACGAAAATGCTAGAGAAATTTCAGTTCTATTCAGTCCTGACCTCAGTGAGAACATTGAGACCACAGTACCAGAAGTTGATCCAGATGTTCCTAAATATCAACTACAAAATACAACCCCTCCTGCCCTGCCATCGCATCATTCGCCTAGTGATTAAGAAGCACTTGAGGTAATCACTAAACCACCTAATGTTGCACCATATACATGTTGCATTCCTAAAAGGACACAAATTAATGTGCAAACAACCAATTAAAAATACCCGCAAGTGCACGAATCTAATGACACTTCCATCTAGATCCACTAGGGGGAAACCTAAGCTTTAATATTGCCTTGACCTTAATGCTAAATCAAAAGATCCCATCAATAACCATGTGTCTACCCATAGATTGTCAAAGTCATATGCATCATTTGTGAATCAATTATCAATTCTATGTGTTCCAAGTAAATGGCAGGATGCTGTGATAGATTCCAGATGGGCTGAAGCAATGGCAATTGAAATGGAAGCTCTGAAAAAGAATTCTACATGGGAAATGGTTCCTTTACCACAAGGGAAGAAACCAGTTGGATGTCAGTGGATATACACCATTAAATACAAAGCTGATGGATCCATAGACCGATACAAAGCTCGATTAGTAGCCAAATGGTATACACAAACATATGGAATTGACTACCAGGAGACATTTGCACATGTTGCCAAGATCAACACTGTACGTGTTCTCATATCCTTGGTTGCGAATCTTGATTGGCCACTACTGCAGTATGATGTAAAGAATGCATTTCTTCACGAGGACTTACAAGAAGAAGTATATAGATCCGCCACCAGGGATTCCTATGACATCCGATCCCAATACCGTATGCAAGCTGAAAAAATCTCTGTATGGGCTAAAGCAGTCACCTCGAGCCTGGTTTGGGAGATTTACTAATTCCATGAAGCGCTTTGGGTACACTCAGAGTAACTCAGATCACACATTGTTCTTAAAGCGTAGTGATTAAAAACTTACGGTCCTGATCATCTATGTAGATGATATGGTGGTTACCGGTAATGACAGTGAAGAGATGCAGACTCTACAGAAACTCCTTGCAAGTGAATTTGAGATGAAGGAACTGGGTGAGTTACAATATTTTCTTGGCATAGAGGTTGCTAGATCAAAACATGGCATATTTCTATCCCAAAGAAAGTATGTGTTAGATTTATAGACAGAGACAGAAATGCTAGATTGCAAGCCAGCTGACACACCTATGGAACAGAATCACAAATTGGGATGTATCCAGACCAAGCTCCAACTAATAAAGAAATGTATCAAAGATTAGTTGGGAGATTGATTTATCTATCCCACACGCACCCTCGACATAGCTTATGTTGTGAGTGTGGTAAGCCAATTCATGCATCAACTAAGTTAGGCACACATGAATGGAGTTATACGGATATTGAGATACTTGAAGACTGCCCCTAGAAAAGGGTTGATGTTCTCCAAACATACACACATGGATCTAGAAGGATACACAAATGCTAATTGGGCAAGGTCCATCACAAATAGACGTTCTACTTCTGGATATTTTACATTTGTGAGTGGCAACTTAGTCACTTGGAGAAGTAAGAAGCAAAGAGTTGTGGCTAGATCGAGTGCTGAAGCTGAGTTTAGGGGAATGGCTCAAGGAGTATGTGAATTGCTCTGGTTACAGACATTACTAAAAGATCTTGGAATTAAACAGTTGAAAGCCACAAATCTATATTGTGACAATAAAGCTGCTATCGAAATAGCTCATAATCTAGTACAACACGATCGTACCAAACATGTGGAAGTGGATAGACACTTCATCAAAGAAAAACTGGAGAACGGTATGATTGAGTTTCCGTTTGTAAACTCAGAAAGTCAACTTGCTGATATTCTGACAAAGGCCATATCAAGTAGAGTTTTCTATGACTCACTTGACAAGTTGGGCATGTGTGATATCTTTGCACCAACTTGAGGGGGAGCGTTAGTTAATGTCTTGAGATTGCATTAATTGCTGATGACTCTAGGAGAAGGGAGCAAAGCTCCATGAGTTGAAAAGTCAAAAGAAGCCAAAAGAAGATTAATTGCATCAGCTGCACAAGTTGCCCCCTAATACCTATTATGTTGCCCCATGCTACCTATTGTAATTAATACAAAGCTATTGTGCTGTCCCCTGCTACCTTTCGTAATTAATACAAAGCTTGATTAGCAAGCCTTCCATGTGTATATAAATTCTGTTGTAAGTTATTAAGAGTGTAAGAAATAGAAATCTGTTTTGAAACCAGAAAATCTCTACACTTTGTTTGGCAGCACTTTATTTAAATCTCTACACTTTGTTGGCAAAATCTGTTTTGAAACCAGAAAATCTCTACTCTTTGTTTGGCAGCACTTTGTTTAAATCTCTACACTTTCTTTGGCAAAACTATGGTGGGCAAACCTTGAGAGTGACAAGGTAGAAAAGTATAGCGGGTAATAACAAAAGACCCTTGATGGTTTGGGGTCATTCTCAATATAGATTTTGATGTTTTAATTTCATTAATTTACATCCCAATGTTTTCAAATATGACCAATTTAATCCTTCCGTTAAGTTGACCGTTTGGTCAGATGTTAACTGATGACATGTCAACTGTGGGACCCACCTATTAACCAATCCACATATATATAATGATAAAATAATATAAAATTAGAAATATAAAACTTAAAAAAACTCAACCTCTTCCCTGCCCAACAACCCAGAGCCCCAATGTTCCCCACCCCATCTCGCCGACACCTACTTCCCACCCTATCTCCATCCACCTCTTCTCCATCTCTCAAACCCTCCGCGACACCGTTTCGCTATCCCAGAAATGCCAAACCCCCAATCTCTCCGTCTACAAGCTCCGCCCCCAAAGCGACGTCGATTCAATCCTCGCTCGCCTCCACTGCCACGTCGCTGGGATTTTGATCAAGAGCGGCATTCTCTTTGACGCCAAAGCCGAGGTTTGTTCAAGAATTAGCAAACCAATGGCCAGTCATGGTAATTATTATTCTTCCAATTTTTTTGTGGGTTTATAATTATATCATAATATTGCAAGGGTTGGGTGATTCCCCATATTGTATCGTAGGAGTTGGGTGATTCTCCAGATAGTTTCGCAAGGGTTGGGCCACCTTGTGTGGTTATGTATTTTTGTTTGTTCTCTGTGATTTTGCTGGGATGAGATTATTGCTAAGGTTGTATGATCGGGGTGGGGTGGATCGCGTTGTGGTTTGGTGCGACTTGGTGGTTGTGGGCGATGGTTTAATCATATAAATGGAGCTTCTTGTTGGTTGTTTCCCTTTAATGATGCTAGTAGTTTGTTTCAGGAATTTATCAAGACCACCAAGGAGCATGTAGTCATTTTTAATAGCCAAATTTGATGGCTTACTTGGACTTGGATTTTAAGAGATACCAGTTGGAAATGTTGTATCTGTGTATTTCATGTGATTATGAGTTTCTGCTCTGTTTGAGTCAGGTTTTATTTTCATCAATATGAATTCAGAGATTTCATCTTGCTATGTTTCTCAGTGGTGGAGGTGGTTGAGTTAAGGGGATGGGGAACAAGGGGGTGTAGGGTTGTTGGGCAGGGAACGGATTGGGATTTTTATAGTTTTTTTTTATTTTTAATTTCAGATTATTCTTATTTTATTATTTTATATAATTTTTTTTTAGGAATTGGTTAGTAAGTGGGTTCCCCATAGTTGACACGTCATCAATTAACGTCTCATCAAACGGTCAACTTAACAGAATGTTTAAATTGGTTAGATTTGAAAACATTGAGGTGTAAATTGATGAAATTGAAACCCCATGATCCATATTGAGAATGATTTCAAACCTTCATGATGTGTTTTGTCATTAGCCCTACATAATATTATTCATCCTATTATTTGACACTTCAATTGGAGATGTTCTTATACTGTTATTATATATATATAATGGTATTTATTATAAATAAATAAATAAATCATGGTATTTTATGATAACGTTTTCCTTTTTGATAAGAAAGATAAATTAAGAGAATGCCATCATCTCCATATCCATGGTTCGATTGTAAATAACCAGAGATATCTGTCTTCTTGGGCTTTGCCTCAGTCTCTTCTGCTACCTCTGCTGCCTCTGCTTCTTTTGGGCCTTGTGGTTGCTCTTTTGCTTCTTTGATGCTTGCCATGTTGGGAATATTAGTTTGGCTCCAGCCAAGAGCAAAGGCCAAGAGGAAATAATGCCATCATCTCCATATCCATGGTTCGATTGTAAATAACCAGAGATATCTGTCCTCTTGGGCTTTGCCTCAGTCTCTTCTGCTACCTCTGCTGCCTCTGCTTCTTTTGGGCCTTGTGGTTGCTCTTTTGCTTCTTTGATGCTTGCCATGTTGGGAATATTAGTTTGGCTCCAGCCAAGAGCAAAGGCCAAGTTTTTTTATGTTATCTTTATCATTAGGTGTTAGATTAAGAGAGAAGAAGTTTGGAAAATGGTTGGTAGTGTTTAGGACAATAACTTAACTTGGAAAGGAAAACTTTTTGAAAGAGTAACAAAGTAATTTATTTGAATGGAGGAGGAAGTTACAAAGCTTTTAGAGACTAGCTCACAATCAGCATCCCACGTGTCAATCTTTGTGTAGGAAATTTGAATGGAGGAGGAAGTTACAAAGTAATTTATCTGAAAAAGTACCAGCTCACAGTCAGCATCCCACGTGTCAATCTTTGTGTAGGAAATTTAAAAACTGTCTGGTTTGTGGTTGGCCCATAATTTAGACTTGGGCATGTCCAAAATCCAGGTCTTCAAATTTTGGACTTGGGCCATCTCTAATTCTAGGCCTCCAAATTTGGATTTGGGCATGAAGCCCAGCCTGGTCATTACATAAAAAGTTGATTTCAAGGAGGGCATGGGATGGGATAGTAGGTGGGAATTGGGAGATGAAGGGTTCTTTTTTGGGAGCTTCACTAATATACCCAAAATGGGTGTTGAAATTATAAAAAAACCCCATATGGAAAACACTTTATAAACACACCCAAAACCCATTTATTAAATAACAAATTGGTATTGAAGTTACTATATATTACAAGGCTGCCACTTATAAGCCCAACAGAAAAAAACTCAAAAGACACCCAAAATCAACCCAACCCAAATTTATAAACAAGCCCAAACATTTTAACCATCTAGAAAACCGTAACTTTTATCCAAAAAAATGGAAAACAAAACCGTAACTTCCAGCAACTTCAATTAACCATCTTTGCCAAACGTCCCTTCAGTCATCGTCTTCATCAAAGCGTCTTCTTCATCTCTCGAAACCGAAACTCCATAACCACAACCAAGCTTGATATACTTTCAAAAACAAACACCACACACTGACCTCACCTACAAAACCAAGACAAAATTTCAGAGAATAATTTCAACAAGAAAACGATTCAAAGGTAAGACATTTACAAACCAA